TTAATTTTTTTTTTTATTCTCTGAACTCCACTCTGTTGCAGAAATCCTGAACTATATAGGTGTATGTATTCCTGTGCAAGAAGGGATTGTTTCTTTATCCACATTTTGATAAACAATGGGTTGAATAAAATCAAACTTAGCTTCCAGCCCGCAGGCCAATGAAGTTGAAGAGATTAAGGTTGTAAACCTCTACTGTCACCAGCGTGGGTGTGCCAAGCAGCCTGTTAGACAGCATGGAATGAATACAAAAACTATATTTTGTTGAAACTCAGAACAGAACGAAAATAAGGGAAGTGCTATATAATTAATTCACTCTTAACATTGCCCTGCCCCAGGAGTCTTGGCCCCAGAAGCCCTTGGATAATGCTCATTGGGACAGAGTTTTCATGGTTGTAGGCCTTGTTTGCTGTCACTCCCTGTTTAGAATTCACTAACTTAGCTAAAGTGCTAATGGTGGAGAATGGGAAGCAGGGTAGAGGAAAGAAATTAAAATCCTGAAAAGAAAAACTCTGGTCATGTTCTAGAGGTGATATCCCTGGTATTTGAATGCTCCAAAAGATAGCTTTTCAGCACGTATTAAGGTCTACTTCTTTCTGGTTGTATTTGTTATGTGTCTATGTATAATTTGGCTTGAATTTATGCATGTCACATGCACTCAGGAGCCCTCAGAGGCCAAAAGACATCATAGATTCCCTCAGAACTCACTGGTGTTATAGGAAGTTGTGAGCTGCCACATGGGTGCTGGGAACTGAATCCTGGTCCTCTGCAAGAGCTGTAAGCACTGAGCCAGCTCTCTAGCCCTATTCCAGTGGTTGAATTTTGCTCAATTATGCTTAGAACTTCTGGCACTTGAGCAGAGCCCACATCTACCTTAGCTAAGGATGTAACTGGTCCTGGGAGACACACTGTCTCAAGGCAGCACACTGACTCCCAGACTACTAAGAAAGCAGGTTTTGATCCTTGTATACACATTTTCCAGACATAGTGGGATGTGGACATAGAAATTTCTTTCTTAGTCCATGAGTAATTACATGTCTTTTAAAGACAAGCTGTCTCTAAGTGTTCTCTAATAAAATCTGTAGCTTCCAGCACTAAACCATTTGCTCAGAACTGATACGTAAATCCAGGCTAAAGCAAACCCCAGACTGAAATGGGAGGATTTATGTGCTGTTACAGAATGTTTTCTAGTCACCAAATAATGACTTCACAGGCAAATAAATATTTGAGTAACTGCTCAGTTGCTTTATCAATCAAACTAATGAAAACAAAAAGTTTAAGCTGGAATAATTTTACCTATGAACATGGCAAATATGTGAAAAGCAGTAAGACTTGAGTATCAATTCCATGCACAAAACATTATAAAAAAGAAATCTGGTTAATAGCAAAAATTTAGAAACAACCTGAACACCTGTCATTAATCAATAAGTGGTTAATTATCCAGTCATTGGAATCATGTTTTCAAAGACTGTACAAGGACATGGAGAAATGATTATCATAAAACAACTTACAAGGCAAGATCTAAAAATGTTAATTCCATAAAATATACATAAGTATTGTCCATAATATATCACTATGGTACATTTCTGGGTAGCAAGATTATCATCATATTATATATTTGAATGCCTTATACTTTTCACATATTGCACCATGAAAATGTGTCATTTTTTAATTAAAAAAATAAATGGAATAATGTTACCCACTCAGTAGCACTCACAATCTCAAGGACAGTCCTTACTAAGTAAGAAGAAACAGATGCAAAAAGCAATTGCCTCAATTCCAGAGAGGCTTAGAAGTCTGATTGAATTAGGAGTGAAAAAAATCATTACTTTCCCCCCTTCTGAGATGGTTTTTATATATTGTCAGAATTGGGGGTGGACTAAAATATACCATGTGGAGTGCTAAATCAACACGAAATAGATGCACTTTTAAAATGTGTGCTTTGAAATGATTATAGTGAACTCATTCTCAGCACATTAGGTTGCAGTAATAAAATGGCACCCTCTTCTCTCTGTACCCCCTGGCTCCCCTGCCCTGTTCTCATACTCCTGAACAGGAAAATAAATCAAATTACACCAACAAAAGGCACAGTATTCTCCAAGGACAGGTCTTGTGTCTCTCTTTTTATTCTGTTTTGTGCCTGAAGAAAACACATGGGCTTTTTCTCAGTGAATCTGTCTAAATATAAAGCATGGAAACACCATGCAGACTCCACTTCCCCAGATCACGTGCAAGTCCCATTAATGTCAGTAAGAGCTGCACGGGGGGACGAGGGAAAACCACCCCCTGTTATGTTTTATTGCGTTTCTATTTTATGAACTGGTCTCTTGGATGATAAATCAGTGCTACTGCAAAACTATAATTCTTTGTGGGAAACTTCCATGAAATCCCTCTGATTTGTGCTATTCCAGCACAGTAAGAAAAAAGAAAGGAAAAGAAAAATCCAAAAGATGAAGTATAAGTCTGCTGTTTTCCCCTGTGCTAGCTAACCAGGACAGCATTGATGACACCCCAATACGGTGCCAGCTTCCTCATCCCTAAGAAGGGACAACTGTAGTTTGCCAAAAAAAAAAAATATACTTGAGAAAATTACTATATTTACAAATATCCCCTTGGCAGCTGACTATTAGATAGCCCGAGTCAAACCATGCTCATCAACCCAACCTCAGGACCCACAGCTTCTGAGTCAGCGCTTACAGAAGTCCTGCAGCCTAGGGTGGCCCAGCGTCTTCCGGGCCACAGGGGAACGCTGCTGTTTTTCTTTCCTCAAGACGACATCTATAACGATTCAGACCTAGAATCCCTCAGGCTTTACCTTGCCCACATTCTTCATCCCATACCATGAATAATCCTTTATGCTCCATGCCCCCTCTCACCTTAATAGTTCAAGTGATTCTCTAAGTATTTTCTTTCTGTTCTTTTCATCCTGGACGTTTGTTTGTTTGTTTGTTTGTTTTCACAAACATTTTTCTCTTCTACCTGAATAATCTATAATTTGTAACATAATCTCTACCGGTTCTTTCACTACTTTCTGGTCTCTCTCTTTCTACCTTCTCCATTTTCCCCTCCTCCCTCCTTTCTTTCATTTTCCCTTCACCTCTCATTCTCATTTTTCCTTTCCTTTTTAGATGTCTTAGGCTTTGTTTTGTTGTTGTTTATTTTTGAAATAATTTAATTATAACCTCTCCCTCCCTTTTTTCCCTCTAAACCCTCCCATGTAACCCTTCCTTGCCCTCCTTCAAATTGATGGCCTCATTTTTCACTAATCATCATTGCAAGCCCATATGTATTTTCACATACATATATTCCCACATATAACCTGCTGAGTGCATATAATGTCACTTACATGCATGTGTAGTGGGTAGCCATTTAAATAACTTAGAATTCTGTTGATGTGAGACACAATTGCTCCTGGCAGCACCAATTTGATCCCAAGTGAACGTTGGGCTTCTAAGACACTTCCATTTAGAAATTGTCTTCTTGGCACAAAAAGGCCTATTGGACAAAAAATCTGTCCTTGCCTCAACTGCTGACAATATGAGTGCTATCCTTCTGAACAATAAGAACACAAGTAAAAGTGACTTCCAAACTCTGCCAAGACAGGGTAAGATGGTCTTTCAGAATTCCAGCTTCTGAAAATGGTCTGTCAGATACTCTAGGCCTATAGCCAATTTAAATGCACCAACAATGCTGAAAAACATTAGGTGACTGTCCAGGCTGCCAGCTATTTCTGTCTACTCTTACAAGATTCCCAAAAGTTGCTTGCATCTATCTTCCATTTCTCAGGTACCATTATATTCCTTCTCAGATCTTTGATGGGATTAAAGACTAGTAGTTATAGTTACAACTTAGTAAATATATAATATCTTAGATAAAACATATTAAGTATCAGATTTGGGTTCTTTAGTATAGGACACTTTTTGAAATGATCTTTATAACATGTCATTTACCTATGCTCTAGACTTCTCTGGATTTTAGTATGTGTTCCTTGCTTGATATTGTTCGCATTGGTTGTAGTTCCATCTTATCTAGGTCATTATCCCTCATTACTCCTGGACAATATTTGATAACCATTCCTTTGTATATAGTCTTGTATTAGGTTAGAACCTTCTTATTTAGACAAAAGGGAGAGATGTAGTGGGTAGCCATTCCAGCTTTGGTCTGGAAGTTCCAACCCCCATTGAGGCTTCAGTAACTGTCATACCTACAAGATGGAGTCAAGAGAGGACCCTGAAGACCAAAGATCCAGATGCGCCGGCTCTCTTGGTTCCTGGACACTGGACACTGGAGGCAGACCGAGCAGAGTTCTCCAGAGAACACCGCAGGACTGTGCTACACCTTTCCCAGACCCTGTTACCTACCCCTTCATTTGTGAGTTACCCCAAAAAATAAACCTCCCTTTTAACTACGTGCTGTTGCCTTAATAATTTCACCAATATGTATGCTGACCATTTGACACTGGACAACCAATTGCCATGCTCTTCCCTCAGGGTATGACACCAGGTTGGCACGACTAGAGTATGCCTGGCATAGAAAAGAATACTGCATTAGAGCAAAGGATATAACTAAGTGTGTAGAATTGCTGCTGAATATGCAAAAAGAAAAACCAGGTTTCATCCTGAAATTGTGTAAATCAGGTTTGTTGGCACATATCTGTAAGTCTAGCCATATGAAAACAGAGGCAAGAGAATCAGAAGTTCAAGGTCACCTCAAGATACAGCACCATCAGCCTGAGACACATGAGACCTTGTTTCACAAAAGAAAAGAAAACTACCATCCTGTTTTCTGGAGTCTTTGTGCCAAGTTGCAGTTCCTTCCACTGTTGATAAGGTTCCTGTTCATCCATATCATTATCAGCATTAGATGTTGCCAGTTTTTAGGATTCTGGCCATCCTAATGAGTGTGCAATGACACCTCCTCGTTTCGGTATGGAATTCCCTAGGAGCACATGGCATTCAGCATTTTTCATGTGTTTATTTGCTACATGTATATCTTCTTTGGGGGAAATATGTACTTAGGACTTTTGTTCATTTTAAAATCAGTTTATTCATTCTCTTCCTTGAGTTTTAACAGTTGTTCATATATTTGAATAAAAGTCTTTTTATCAAATATGTCTTCTACAAACATGTTCTCATCTTCTCATTCTCTTGGTTTTGTCTTTAGTGTGGCAACATTTTTAATTTTAGAAAATCCAGTTACAAATTCTTTCATCAGTTATATCTTTGGTGTTTTGCCATGTTCAGGTATATCTAGTATATCTTCTAGGTTATATCGGAGGAGTTGCTTAACTTTGTATCTTGCTTATATTTAGGTCTACAGTATATTTCTGCTGACTTTTTAAAACTTTTTAAAATGTCTCTTCAATTCTCTTCAATATTGAGATTTTTGCAAATAAAAGCTCACTCATCCTGGTGCTATGTGCTGAAAATCAATATATATGTTTTCTCATTAAATTGACTTTGCCCCTTTGTCAACAGTCAGTAAAGTTTATTTCTATGTGGGCTGATTTCTAGACTCAATTCCGGTTATGTATTTGTCTGTTCTTTCATTGGTGACAAACATTTGATTACCATAACTCTATAAAACCCTCCAGGATAGGTAACCCTGGTCCTCTAACTGTATTTCTTACCTTTGGCTGCTCCACTTCAGCTTTACAAGGAATGTATCTGTTCCACTTTCAGGTGCTCGTGTTGACTCTATAGATGAAATTAAGAATGGACATCTTGAAAATATGGAGACTTCCTGTCTCTCCATTTACTTACTTATTCATAGACACATTGTTTAGGGTCTTATTATTTCTAATAACTGTTTAGTAGGTCCATGAGGCTCTTAATCAATTGTCAACATAGATAATAATGTCAGTTGTGAACAAGGGAAAGTTTTCATCTGTATATATTTCTTTTTTTTTCTACCTTATAGCACTTGCTATGACTTCCAGGGTGATGCTGAAACCAATAATGAAAGGGGCATCCTTGCAGAGAGTGTGTGAAAATCCAATAACAGATTTAAGGAGTATTCATAGAGTTACTCTAACCATCATTAAAAATAAAACTGTAAGATACAAAATATGCCTCGCCTGGAATTTGACATACTTTTGCTCCAATGGTCAATTCAAGAATTTCCTGCAAAACTTTGAAAGGTTTTGCACCCTTGCTTTCTATCTCATCACAACTAGCTGAACTTCAGTTGCTGGGGTAGCCCCTTCTAGTGACAGTGATTCGCATGTGCTAACAGTAATGGACACTCTCAACCTTGCCAAAGCTCAGTTTCTTCATGTATAAAACTGTGAGTATAGTTACCATGTTGGGTATTGTGTTGGCTACAGTTTTGTCAATGTGGCATAAGCTAAAGTCATCTAAGACAAGAGAACTTGAGCTAGACAATGCCCCCATCCGATTGACCTATAGGCAAGTCTGTGGAGTATTTTCAGGATTGATGATTCATGTGGAAGGGCCCTGCCATTGTGGGCAGTGCCTCCCTGAAGCAGGTGGTCCTGAAGTGAAGAAGAAAAAAAAAGGAAGCCAACTGAGCAATCCAGGAGGAGTAAGCCAGTTGGTTTCTGCTTTAGTTTCTGCCTCCGAGTTCCCGCCTTGAGCGCCTGCCCTCGCTTCCCTTCATGTGGAAAGGTGATCAGGACAAGTAGTCATGGTTTTTTAATCATAGGAATAGAAAGCTAACTAGAATGCATGTATTGTGATTCAACTGTGAACTTTGTGTATTGGAATGTTCAGTTCTCAGCTGGTGGCTTTGCTTTGGGTGGTTACAGAATCTTAAGAACTGGGGATCCTGATGGAGGATGTGGATCACTAAGAGGCAGGCATCTATGGCTACAACTGAGCCCCACTTCTAGCTCAGTTTGTACATCTCTGCCTACTGGCCCACACAGATGTGACTAAGCCACCTCATGCCTCTGCTGCCACAGCCAAAATTTGCTCTTGCCACCACGACTCTCTGCCATGATGGACTGTAGGTTCAAACTATAAGCCATAACAAACCCTTCCGTTCTTAAGGTGTTTCTTGTCAGGTAGCTCATCACAGAAATGAGGAAAATAAACTAACAAAGGGTATTTGTGTAAATTAAATGAGAAGGATTAGGTAGAGTATCTGACATAATTCCTAGAATCTGTCATTCAGTGTAACTTCCTTCTTTCTTGTCTGGCAAATGCTGTGTTTCAGGTTCTGGGGTATTGATCTATTCAATACTTACCCCTGCATGACTGCACTATCATCAATCTCTTCTGCATGAATGGAGATCAGTTTCAATGAAAAAAATCACAACACTATCTAAAGGGGAACTGTGTAAGAGGGGACAACACAGTTGACAGTGGCACATACACTGTGAAAAATGATGATATTTTGAGCAAGGACATAGTATACATTTATAATGGTTCCATAGGATATGTCAACCTAGTAATCTCATCATTTTACTCTGTGTGAGCACACCTTCGATGTGCATATCACAGAATAGTCTAATGACACATTTCTGAGAATGTACACTCATTAAATAATTAGCAGGACATATATAAATTGAATCAAATAGGGAAAACATTGAGTTAATGCACAGAAAAACATGAGATGTATCCCCATCTCTCCTACTTACTAGCTTCTATGCTTAGACATGTAATTTAATACTATTAAGCATCATTAAAATTAAATGACTTTTGAGAGTCTTTTAAATATAATATGCATTATTCTGATCTTTATATAGAAATGCATTCCAAATATACAATGTGCTCTGAGTAATTTTCTTACTATGTTAAGATTTAAACATAAAAATGTAATATACATCTCAAAATGTCTACTAATATTTTTCTATTAAAGATGCTCTTAGATTGTTGAAACTAGGAGAATAAAGCATTAATGTCTTGAAAGCTATTAGGAACCTTTTCTTTTAGAGAAGAAAAAATTCTTAAAAGCCCCTTGAGAAAATTGAAACTTCAATTGGTGTACTCAAAACATATATTTCTGGGAAAAATACCTAGTGAAAGGAACACTGAATTCCGAGGTGAATAAGAAAGGACATTATGTAAATGTCCAGAGGGATAAATGAGATCATGGAAAGCTACTACATTTGTATAACAATCTATAGGTAAATTGCTAAACATTTGCATACTAAAATTGTTTAGCATATTAAGAAGGAAATTATTTAAGTTATTATACTTCTTTCATTTTATATAGGGAATAATTAGGTTTTTATAAAATGTCAGTTACCTTTAAATTACAGTATGTCCACTTTTATATAACACCTCTATGCAAAGATTTATTTTTACATTTTGAAAAGTTCTTTAGATACATAGTATTCAACCTTTTGTTTTTTGTTGTTGGTTTGGGGTTTTTTTTTTGGTTTTGGTTTTGGGTGTTGTTGTTGTTGCTGTTGTTGTTGTTGTTGGTTTTTCAAGACAGGGTTTTTCTGTGTAACAGTCCTGGCTGTAGACCAGGCTGACCTCGAACTTACTGAGGTCCACCTGCCTCTGCCTCCCAAGTACTAGGATTAAAGGCATGTGCCACTCTGCCAGGTCTAGTATTCCACCTTATTAACACCTGTTTGTTCAACACAACAGAGAGTTCTAAAGTCATTTCTCTTCTCCATATTACTGTAAATTATGTAGATAAAATAAAAACCACTGAGGGTAAAAATGTATCCATCAACTCAATCCCTGATGTCAGCTTCTCTGGCTCACTTAGAAAAGTATTTCCAGTGTGAACTATATTAATTGCTTTCAGCCCACTGATGCCTGTCTGCCCGAGTCTGTCTCAAGATGTTTCTTTGCACCACATCCTGTGTCCCCTTCAGGTGAGAATATTAAACATACCAGCTACATAATCTAACACAGACAGTCCTTTCCATTAACCAGTTTTTTATACATAAAGGACTGACTGAAACCTGCTCATTTATTAAGTCACTGCTTACAGGTACTGAAATACATTAAGACAAATTATCTCACAAACACGTAAGAAGAATGACATTCCTACGATGCCATCCCCAACTGCACAACTTTATCCTTCTAAAATCGTTATCATTGTTTCTCTTATTTCTACTTCAAAGTGAGTTCTATTACCTTTAATGCAGGGTGAGCAGATGAATCAGTTATGAGTAGAAAAGATCAGAGAGCTCATCATATTTTACCTGTGCCACACAAGAGAATTTCAAAACACAGGTTCAAGGGGACCTCTCATTTCTATTTTTCTAAAGTACCAGACAGAATCAAATGCAAAACCAACTGCTCAAAATACATTGCCTCATATGAGGGAAAAATAAAAAATAAAAAATACTATTCCAAGAAAAATGAGGATCTTTCACTAAAACAACAAAAAATAAGAGTCACCTTAACTGAGAAATAGCAAAACTATAAAAAAGTAGGCCCTGAAAAGATTTTAATTATATTACTAATAAAGCATAAAATAGAAAATACTTAATGGATAGTTCCAAATGAGTAAAACACAGGTTTAAAACAGTGTGTAAAGATTAGAAAGCATGAGTCTGGAGATATGGCTCAACAGTTAAGGGCACATATTATTCTCACAGAGGACAAGAGTTCCATTCCCAGCGCCTATGTAGGTGGGTTCACAGTGATCTGTAATTCCAGTTCCAGGGGGATTAATGGCTCTGGCCTCCACAGACACCTGAAACATACGCACAGACATACATGAAATTAAATAAAGTATTTTAAAATAAAATCTATACTTGAAAGATAGCAAAATGGTACCTCTGGAAAGGATAAATGCAGTAAATGAAGTTTAGAACTGAGCAGATAAACTGATTGATTCAGCTAAAGAAAGAATACATAAGCTGGAATGTGGGTGTTGTGAAAAGATATTCACTAAGCACCAGCAGACAAAGAGATGAAGTAAAAGGAAAGACTTCAAATGAAGCATAAAGCTAAAGCAAATGTCCAACTGTCTACAAGGGGAAAGGACCAGAGAAACCAAAGGTAAGAGTTTTTGGATATATTGTAAAAATGTAGTTTAGGGAATGACCACTAGATATTGGATAACCAATTTGGAGGCTCTTGCCTAGGGAAGAATATTTCTCCCTCCGTCAGAATTTCTTAGTTGCCTATAATTCTATTTATTTAGGAGTGTGTGTGTGTGTGTGTGTGTGTGTGTGCATGTGTGTGTTGCTATATCCATTCATACACATATATATGTGTATACATATATATAAATGGGAAACTAAATAAAGATATTGTATAATGAATTTTGGAAGATATTAATTCATAAAACCAAAGGAAACAAAAAATCTTAAGTAGAGGATTTTAAAAGAAATCCACACCCTATTACAATACCAAAATCATGGAGACAATGAGAAAATTACTGAAACATCCAAGTGAAAGGATAAATTATCTTCAAAGAAGTGATGGGGAAGTCATAAGTGTTCCAATATTTATAAAAAATACCTGTCTAGCAAAAACTCTATACAAAATGCTTGATTTTATGAATAACATATGAACATAAACTTCAAAAATATAAAAATAAAAATTTAGCATAGTAGATTCTCACTATAGCAAATTTTAAATATATATATATATTTATCAGACTTAAGTATGAATAAGAAGTAAGCCAGAAGTGGTATTCAGAGAGAAAAGGGAGCCAGACCTTTGTGAGTTCCTGGAAAGCTTGATCTACATAGAAAGTTTCAGGCCATCCAAGGCTAAATAATGAGAGCCTGTCTCACAAAACATGAAGCGAGGAACCCTAAAATATCACTGAATTAAAGATGATAAGCTAGTGTGAGTTCAAAAGGAAGACAGATCTAAAACACATGGAGATAGCAGTACTTACATGGGAAGAAATTAAATTTAAATAGTTGGCTCCATCATCCTTGTTACTATTAACTTTAGACAGAATGCTAAATTTGTGTGTGTGTGTGTGTGTGTGTGTGTCTGTGTGTGTGTCTGTGTGTGTGTCTGTGTGTCTGTGTGTGTGTCTGTGTGTGTGGGTATTCAGGCCAGGCACTGAGTGTAGAGCAAATGTTTGGAGCAACACAGATTGAAAAGAGAGAAATGAAGTTAGAATGACAAACCCAAGAGAAGGGAAAAAAGGAAGAAGTAAAATGAATTACAGCAGGTGTTGACCAAGGGATAGAAAGGCACAGAAGCTGGAGTAGAAGAGAGCACCTACCATGAAACAACATAAATTAGCAAACACAATGTAAACAGACTCTATTCTTCAATTGAAAAGCATTTTTTCCTACCTAGACTAAAAATCCAAGTACATACTGTTAATACAGAATCATCTAACAAAAAAATAGATGGAAATAGAGGTGTAGAAATACAAAGGCCAGGAAAACTGTGACCAGCATAGTATACTGTATTAGCTTAGGTACAGGCACATTGCTACCAGGAAGGAAGAAGTATAAATACACACACACACACACACACACACACACACACACACACACACACACACGTTCAAAAATACAACCTAAAAAATATATCCAAAGAAAACTGATAGAAACTCAAGAAGAAACAGGCATACCTAGAAGCATAGTGAATGATAGACTTTAACACATTTCTCTCAACAATTGATACAAAGAGCAAAAAATGCATCAATAATGGTAGAGAAGATTTGGAAATCATAATTGACCAGAGAGACACCAAGATAAAGGATAGGGAATCCTTTAATTGTCTGAAA